ACACGTAAGCCCTTCTCCCCTTTTCCACACTCCAATTATTAGCAAAAATAAACCTGCAGAGTATAATAGCAGAATAAAGACAATACTAGAATGCTATTAAATCATTCACAAAAAAAGAGAGAACAGTGATTAAAGATGCATCACAGCAGGTGCTTTGTTGTGTTGTGTTTTGGGTTTTTTTTCATGTTGAGCCAAGTCTCCATTTCCATTTTTAAACAGCTAACAGGATACAGGAAGGTTCTCATTTTAGGCTCACCTGGACAATTTTCAGTACATTCAACTTCTTCAAACTGTGCATCCAAATAAAAAACAACCAGTTTTCCTCAACCACTGCAGATACTGAGGAGCTGCTTTTCTTTTTCAGACACTGAAATAGAGGAAGAACTGGTAACAGAAAATTAACAGAAATTAAGACAGTATTTTCGTTTGCTACATGAAACCAGCAGTTTTATGGGAGGATGCTTGTTAGTGGCAAGGAATCCTAGATTTCTTACCTGCTCAGCAGTTATTTACCTCACTGTACAACAAGCACTACAAGAAGCGAGCCATGGAAAACTGTGGTTTCATATAGTTAAGGGTAATGAACACCTTGAGTAGTCTTAAAGAGAGTTCCATCTTTGACAAGAAGCATGTAACTATCCTGATGGTATTAACAGTTTGTGTAGGCAGACATGCCACAGTCCACCTTCAGTCCTAAACACAATGGCCACACACAGAGGTGTATTTCTATACAAAGACTTCCCCCCACGTAATTAAAAAAAAAAACCAACGACAAAATAATAGAGAGTAGCTGTTTTAATTAAGATTACCAAGTAATCTTAACCTGATGTGGTTATCAGGTTAGTCAGACCTGGGGCTGTTTAGTCTTGAAAAGACTAAGAGGGGACCTGATGAATGTCTATAAATGCCTGCAGGGTGGGTGTCAAGAATGGACCAGTCTCTGTTCAGTGGTGCCTGTGACAGGGCAAGGGGAAATGGCACCAAGTGACAACACAGGAAGTTCCACCTCAACATGAGGAGAAACCTCTTTCCTGTGAGAGTGACAGCCCTGGGACAGGCTACCCAGAGAAGTTGTGGAGTCTCCTTCTCTGGAGACTTTCAAGACCTGTCTGGACACATTCCTGTGTGATCAGCCCTGACTGTTCCTGCTGCAGCAGGGGGGTTGGACTGGATAATCTTCAGAGGTCATTTCCAATCCCTATAATTCTATGATACCTTACCTTCCATATCCAAAGCCCCATTATGGAACCTCTTTCAACAGATGCAGTCTGGCAACAGTCAAGCCAGCCAGAAACAACTTCCTAAGAAAAAACAGGTAATATGCACCAACTGTAGGATTTATTTCTAAGCCACTGTCCTATCTTTTATCCAAAAAGAGCATCACTCAAAACAGCATTCATTAGAATTTCAACCTCAGGGAACTGAGCATACTCAGCTCAGCATTCCCTCCAGTTCCTTATTTTTAAGCTGTCTGCCTTTACCCACCTTCTCTTTTTTAATTCTCTGCCCTTACAATGTGTGTCCCTCTTCTTTTGGGATTGGAGAGAAACAAGATGGCATTCAATTTCTATAAAGGCTAAGTTGAATCCCAAATCCTAATGGTGATAAAAAATATTAACTGATTAAAATACAGAAAAGATAACATACTTGCTGAAGTGACTAAATAATAGAGAGCAGGAAAAAGGAAAAGTTGATTTTTTAAAAAATCTCCTACAAATGGCTTCTAAGTATCAGCAGCAAATCTGAGAAGAGGAAGAAGGTAAACACTTGCAAGTATCCATATTTTAAGGTAGAGAGCCTGCACAGTATAAGCATTTATGAAAGTACTTCAGTTATTTGTTATTTAAGAAAATAAAACTTCTTGACTTCATAGTACAGAGACCCTCAGCAAAGGCTCTGGAAAACTGTTCAAGCTTTGCTCATTAAGTCTCCTTTATCTACAGTTTTATTACTTCTTTCAGAGAGCTATCAAGGTCTCTAAAACAAACCACCTCCTAATCGGATCCTGTCGTATCTCCTGTGAAGAAACACCGAGTGACCGACACAGGCTTATCACCAAGTGTCAGGTCAAAGCCCAGGCGATAACTTCTGTGGGACACACAACTGTCAGGGGGGGTTCAGTATTTTCTTCAGGCATGGAGGAATCTTGTAAGCAGACACATGAACCAAGCGAGGAACATAAAAGCTGAAGCGGGACAACAGCTCTGCTCGCAGGAAGCTCCAGAGTGAGGCCAGCGCAGCTCTTGGCACCCAGCCCGGTGCCTGCGGGGCTCCAAACCGCGGCTTCATCCCGCCAGTAACTCCAAGCACTGACAACGCTCTGCGGCCCCGCGAAACGTGAACCTACAGGGCTCCGGAAAGCCTGCGGGCCGGCAGGCAGGGCGCACCCCGCGGCAGCGCTCGGTACGGGCGCGGCCTGAAGGCCCCGCTCCCCGCTCCATCCCCCGCGGGGCCCCGTTCCGCGGCCGCTCC